CGGATTCTCTGTATCGGGGATAGCTTTAACCAATACGTATTCGAATCCCGATCTTGTTACCGGACTTGTTGCATTCGTTCAACGCACGAACTTGTTGCTTATTGGCAAAGATTCGACATTGATCTCTCTCGCGTATCATAGTATTCGGTATATTAAATGTCGATATCTTTCGCATGCTCAGACATCCTCGAACACGCGATACTTTGAATCGCCATCAACGATTGGCTACTAAACCTTGATCGTTGAAATATACGTATACACGCGCCTATGCGTATAACCTGTATAACTGTATCCAGACGAACGGTTCTATCGATGACGAAAAAAAAGGAAAAGGAAAAAAAAAGAAAAAAAGAAAAAAAAAATTTTTTTCGTCGATCGACCATACCGCTCGGCTCGTTACGATTGGAAAATCAAGCTCGCGCCAATCAACGAATTCATCGCTGATACGACGAATACAAACCCGCTGAACAAAGTGGAAAAGAATTTGAAAAATTTTTGCGAAAGCTTTGTCACGATCCTTTGAAAGCGTATTAATATATACGTGCCTGGTATTCGAGCGCGCGCATTGAAACACGTACCAATACGTGTCCAGATTATAATATACTAACAACGATTCTGCTTCCGTTCCAAAACACACCTGGCTTGTTTCCGGCGTTGAATTTGCACGAAATCCTATAAGACTCGGGGACTCGGAGAGGCTTTTGACGATGGCTATACTCGGCCAATGATAGCATATCCGGCGTGAGAAGGACAGACTACCGATAAACTATGGTACAAATCTGTAGTTAATGTATAGTATGGTAGAGTGTCGCCTACACACTCACGCTTCCAAGATGGCGCTCAACCTGCGGAGAGAAAGACGATCGAGCGTCTGAACTGGTCGGAGCGGGTCTGCTATAGCTGCGTCAAGCGTCGGACAATGAACGAGTGCCGGACTGATCTACTTGTTTTTGTCGTCGCTCCGACCAGTCAGTCATAAGGATAGTGCAGTGTGTTTGGTGCGGAAACAAAATGTGCAGCCACAGAAAGAGGATCGTTAGGCTAGAGTCGAAAATAAGTACGTGCTAGTGCTGGTTCTTCGGTTATGTCAGTGTGTTAAGTCAAAATGGCAGCCACGTTAACTGTCGAGCAGGAACAGGTAAGCGATTATCTACCGTCTTATTCGGGATATACGCGTTGGAAAATTCTTTCGCACGATCTCGCCAACATCGCGAGACGATCGATCACGATTTTTTCCTTTTCATCCATCTCCATACCGCCAACATGTTTACCACCGCGTAATATAAACATTGCTCGTTCCCTCTACCTCCGATCCGTTCACTCTTTTCCATGTATTTCAACGGAAATGACAAGAGAGGAGAAACTTTGCTATTCGACGTATCCCCGAGAATCGTTCTCGACGAGGCTCGACGATGATTATTCTATTCAACTTTGGATCCGCTAAATCAGCGCGATGAATAAATTCGCGTGTGCACATCGAGCTTTAATCATCAATGTTTGTGCAACTAGATACTGTCATCGCGAGAATAACGTTCCATTCTTTTGCGGACTGTACTCTCTGCACGCTGCGTTATTTTATTTCTCGCCAGTCGGTACAACGTTTTTCCCTGATTTTTATTCAAAATTTCTCCCACGTTGTTCCAAATCGATCATCGAACGATACGCGATTGACGAAGAAAACGTTTTCGCGACTTTATACGGACTAGTGTGGCGTACAACGAAGAATCGGCGTTTCTTCGATTTTTAAATAGTCGAAATTGATCGGAATACGCGAGGCGTTTCGCCAGACACGGTGTAACGTTGAAAATAAAGCAAATTAAAAAGCGTCGCGCAGCAAAGTTTCATAAAAGTATCGATTCACGATATTAAATTTCTTGACCCTGGAACGAACCTATCCATTTACCGTACCGGTCCCCGGCGAGCATAGTATGGCGGAAGTTGCCGGTGGGTAGGTAGTCGGGCACCGGAAGTTATATCGGTACCCAGGGCATGTACACAAATCATTGACGAATGACTGTTTCGACAGTATAGAAATGCCACGAGACTATCCGATTGTTCTAAACGTCTCACGCAGAGCCATCTTTTCGATTAATGGACGTCTCCGCTTCATTCAAATTCCACGCGACGTGTAAATTAGTGGTTTTCTCGTTCGAAAGGGAAAAAGGAAAATGGAAAAGAGCGATTTCGGTGAATGTTTTCTTATTCGATGTGTCATGTTTCGTAAATGTAATTAACGTAACGATAGAGGAACGAGAGGACAGTTAATAACGATCGTTTGCGTTTTCAGGCTACGAAAGAATTTATAGAAGCAGTGAATAAGTGTCGAGCTGGAAGGAGAGCCGGTCCAGTCTCGTGGAGCATAGCTGTAAAGTATTTGACAGTAAGGAAATTTGAAGTGGCGAGAGCACTAGCGTTGTACGAACAGCACGAAGCCACCAGAAGGAGAGAGGGTCTCGCAGTTTTGTACCCTACTCAGGAACCTTTGTTCAGTGAATTACGCACAGGAAAATTCACAGTTTTAGTAAGTGCCTAAATTGAGTTAATACAAAGCTCAATGATCCCGGCTTATCAAGTGCATGTTATTTAACCGACACATCCGTGAAAATGTTCTAGCCTTCACGGGATGCTACAGGGGCAGCCATAGCTATTTTTACAGCACATTTACACCTTCCACAAAATACTACGCACCAGACAACGTTACAAGTGAGTATATCACTCGTTACGAGTGAGTATTCGTATATATATATATATATATATTCATATATACGATATATTTTCATAAGCAAACCGTATCGGTTTACGATTAGATCCCGATACGTATCGCTAAACGGAAATTACCACGAAACACGCGAAAGGGAAGAAATGGAAGATACGATTCGATAGATGTGCAATAACACGAACATTCTCTGTCTCGTTACAGGGTGTCGTTTATCAATTAGATGCAGCTCTAGAAAGCGTAGAAACTCAAAAGCACGGTCTGGTTTTTATTTATGACATGTCGGATAGTAAATACCAGAATTTCGACTATGACCTCTCGCAAAAGATTCTCACTCTGCTAAAGGTAAGTTTCACATCCGTGTGTACGCACGGTCTTAAACGTACAATTTGTATATACATGTATAGACGTGTACTTATTAAATTAATTTCTTATTCCGAGCGAGAGAAAGTGGCCGTGAAAATGATGAATGATTCGTTAAATTTAAGTCAGCTATTATAAACACTGTTAAATTTTGAATAAAGAAATATATGCATATATATTACTCTTGACAGAAAGTTTATATTCTCGCGACTTTACGAATTTACCATTCTCGATATTCACCTTCGTTCTTTCTCACTCACGAATCTACGGCTGGGTTTGACAGCGCTCCGAGAAGTAAAGAGGCTTTGTTGGCAACAACGATTCGTTCCGAATGTAGGCCATTATCTTTACACAGGAAATTTAATCAACATCTTTGGCTTTTATTCTTTCCACGAACGAAATCAGACCGTGTAATGCACGCGTGCTGTCTCTCTGCGAAAGATTAACGCGGTATATACGAATGCGTCACGTTGCACGGTAGAAAATATTTGAAACGCATGTTGGAACGTAGCAACACGAAGGAGTCGGTCGCTTAGAATTCTGATTATATGTTCCGTATTATATGCACAGTAGGTACCGGGCAATACATAAAGTAATTCCAAAGCTTCTAGTAGAGGGGTACATAGGAGGGTGCATCTCAAAGAAAAGGGAAGCTTAAGGGGTTGTTAACGCTTCACGAAAACCCACTTGCAATTGCCCATTGAACCGCGCGTTACAGGCAGAGGAAGGGATTTTCAAAGGTTTCGCCGGAATGACGCAGTTATAGAATATTTATGAAACTATTTCTAACAACATTTTTACGTCACCAAGCACGAGATAAAAATAATCTTCTGTTTGCTCGGTTGTTTACCAGGAATCGGGGATAAAGCTGAATTCTATTCTGAAACCCGCGTAGCCTGTCCGGTGAAGTGTATAAAAGGGAAATATAATGCTACCGGTCGCTTTCTATTCGTCTAACAGCGTTTCGATACTCTTCCATTTTCCGTTCTATTGTGTATCTGCCTGTAGCGTCGTCCAATGTCGCTTCGCCAACGGACTGAAACTTTTCCGATAAAATTCTCTCTCTCTCTCTCTCTCTCTCTCTCTCTCTCTCTCTCTCTCTGTCATCGACTGTCGTTTGATAAATTAACGTTAGAATCGGGATTGCGGCGATTGTTGCGCGTCGACTCGGTTTCTGCGTGAAATAAAAACGGCCAATAGGACGAATAACCAGAAAGAGGTATATACGCCAAAGGTGATATTTTGTTTACGTAGCCAGATTTTCGGTTAAAAATAACCCGGACCGTTCTAGTTTTAGCAGTAGCAAGTTATTAGAGGTTGATAACCCCCGTTGTACGCAACACGGTTCACGCATGCTGTATTTCAACGAATCCTGATTACCAAAGTACCACCGGGACTTGGACGAGAATGGTAGGCACGATGGCCGGGTTGAGAGGCACTGACATAATACGTCACCATACGTCGGATCGCACCTTTGCCGGGGGGAAAAGAAATTCGCGTAAGGGATGCTAGAGCGGTGGTAAAAAGAAGGGGTCGTTGGCGCGCATGCGCGCATTCGCGGGATAACGTCGCGACGCTCGTGGTCAGTAATCATCGTGACCCCTTTGCGGCATTATCGCGTACAGATCGGAA